AGAGTAATTAAAATATTGGAATTATACTTTAAATTTAAAAAAATATATTGCAAATTATTTTTTTATATAGAATAATTTTTAAAATTCTTATTTTCCCACTTCCAATATTAAAAAAACTATATTTAACTCATAACTTTGACGTAATTCATTAAAGTTTAAAAACATTATTAAAAAAATAAAGTTATTTAACTATATAAGAATGTTTTCAATATGGAAATGTATTACAACAAATTATATTATTTTATTTTATTAAAGTTAACTTTTACTCAAGGTCACATAATCTCTATTAAAATATTAATTACTTTAATTAACTATAAATTAGTTTAAACCTGTAAAACGATTTGGCGTAATACACGTTTGTTTTGACGCCACCATTGGTAATTCTGTTGAAAAAATATATATTTAAATTATAATATTTTTAAAATTTTTACTATACTTGTATAAAATTATTTAATTGAAAGTTATTAGATTAGAATTGCAAGATTTTAATAAGTATGGAATTTTAACCCTTATATGCTGTTTTATAGTAACACCCGATTTTTTAATTATTACTAACTCGTATATTAATCACCACCTATACAATTAAATAACACCGCAATAAACTCTGGCATTCAACAACACTACCAAACAGCCCATTCCCAACATGTTAGATTTGTTCTCATAAATTTAAAAATATTGACTAATCTGATAATTTAACTAACAAAGAATTGTATTTTCAGCCTTAAATACTGTGAAATTATTACTAAATTCCCACACAGTTAAATGTTGGATTCTGTTAATTCAAGTAACATAAAATATTATTTTAAGTATTGAATTCTTATTATATTAACACCCCATGTAACGCTATTTTATTTTTTTGATAGGTGCATAAAAAATATTTAAATAAAAATAAATCCAATGATCCTCTTTTGAGGTGCGACATTAGGCATCTTCATAGAAATTTTGTGTTTATCAGTATAGACTCTTTAACACATAGATATTGATTTATTGAAGACAGGCAAGAGATAATTATTAATATTCTAAAATAGACAAGAAGCCAAAGTAATAATAAATGGCGTAGAAAAATTTCATAACTATTTGTATGGACATAAGTTTATACTACGAATGGACCACAATCTAATAACGATATATGGCAATAACAGAGATTAAAGCTCATTAACAAATCAAAGATTATTAAGTTGGACCTACAAATTATCTGCATATGATTATGATATAATGTATAAGAATGGCGCTAATAATATAATTGCAGATGCTTTATCATGTTACCCAATAGATAAAAATGATGATAGAATAACAAGCGAAAATAAAACAGCGAAATATATAAAAATCATATTTATGACACTTTAACTAGAAAAGAACTTAGAGAGTAAACCGCAAATGATCCAATTTAAGAAAAGTAAAAATATTAATAAATGGTACAAATATAAAAAATCAAGCACCAAAATTACAAACTTTTAGAACAAGAATAGATGAATTAGAAAATGATAACGGCATTTTATTTTGGAATGTCGTTTTAAACATTCCGCACTCACTTCAAAAAGGAGTTTTACATATATTGCATACGGGACATCAATGAAATCCATTACGAGACATTATATATATTAGGAACAATTAGATAAAGATGTCGAATAACTAGTAAAGTGTTTTTCATAAAAAAACGATTGGTACAATAAAAAAAGAAATACTGTTATTGATCAATTAATTAACTATGATTTTTCTTAAGTTTGTTTTTGAATTTTAAATTTCCTTCACCCGCCCGCCATTTGTAAATTTCTTAGCCAGCCCGCCCGCATTTGCAATTTTTTTTAACCTGCCCTTTTAAATTTTTTTTATTAGGCTTATACCTCCTACCACAATTAATTAATAGTTCATCAACCTCTGATCTTATCTTTATTATGTCCAAACCACCCATCCCGATTCTCACATTAAAAAAATATTAAAAGATGCCACTATTGACTCATCAAATCATATAGCTAGCTTCCTTACTCCAGATTTATAACATATCCCAACAACCATACGTCTTATCTCCACTAACAACTACCATAACAAAACTTCTATTCAAGAATAACAATTTTTATTAGTAATTAATCTAACATATTATAACTTTTATTAAACAGAATTTATTGTTATATACAATTATCATTTTAATAAAAATACTAGTTATATGGATTTAAATTTTATAGAATAATCAGTAAATAAAATATTGGGTTTATTTTAGTGTTTAAAATTTTTTATTTTCAAAAATTCGACTTTTAGATATGCCAGTTTTTAGCGATTTCTATAGACTGGTATCTTCTAAAATCGGGATAACTATACTTAATAAATGGATTTATTGAGGATAGAGAGGAAATATTTAAATAATTTAGTTCATCATTTTATTAAAAATAATTGATTTATTTTATTAGAGATATGTATAATCTTTAAATAATATTCTTATGGCCTATTTTACAAAATTTACAAATATATATATGATTTTTTATTCTAAATGACTTAATAATAATTTTTTTATTCTTCAGTTGTCGTAATAATAGTTTATATTTTAAATTTTATATTTCAAACCTGGAATAATTTCCTCCATAATTATATTTTCGGTTGCCACAGCTTCAACTTCCGAAGTAGTAGTTGTTATATTGAAATGATCTATTGAATAAATATTATTAAATTTATAAATATTTTGATATCTTATCTTATCTAGCACATTGGTCATAGACCTGCCCAAAGTGTGCGAACGTTTAAACAATCAAATCAAGAGCATCATATATGCCATTTATTAGCATTATTTAAAATGTTAGAAATTTGCTACGAATTTAATAAATTGTTATATTTATTCTTTAATTTTATTCGTAATAACTCAACAAAACAAGATATAAATATTAGGTAGCTAAAGATTAACCAGATATATTATTATATCTAACTTACATATAGAATATGATTATTTACTCATAAGGTAATTTACGTAAAACATAAATATTGAGATGGTATATCACTGTCCTTTTTTCTCAAAAAATATGAATTATTATCATGGTTTTAAAAAATTAAAAACTTCTTATTTATTTCAAATTATTGTTTAAGATATTATGCATATTGAGGATGATATTCCATAAATTTGACATATTTCTTAAAGGACTTTACAAAATATTATAAAATTGGCGACAGATAAGGTATACAGGCCAGGGATCAAGAAATTTTCGTAGTTAATAGCTAATATGAAAAAATATAATTTTCGAAACGCATTATGAATAGATATATATAAAATTGCGAAACAACTTTTTAAAGAATCGTAATTAGATCAAGAATAATGATTTAGATACCAAAATAATAGAGACGGAGATCAACCCTCCCTTTGAACAAGGTAATAGAAATGACTCATGTGATTGAACTAGCAGATTAAGAATTAATTTATTAAAGTTTACTCATCGTAGCAGATAAAAATTTCTGAATTTTCCAATTTTATTTATTTTAATCCATCTAAGTAATCATTAAAAAATCGGCACGATAAAGGGATAATTATTAATTGGAAAAAATTAGATAGATTATTTAAAAATTTATTGATATTATTTTAATACAATTTAGTAATCATTATATTTTATTAAATTTTTTATAATATATTGGTCGCTTGGAAACATGAGTATGAACAAGGACGCTGGTTCAATCCTGGTAAGGAACATAAAAACTTTCAAGTCTTCGATGACTGATGTGTAAAGACATATGGTATGATGAATTTCGAAACTAAGAGATGACACCCCGGTTACCGATAAGCCTGGACATCTGGGTGCTAAGGATACCTGTCTAATAAACAAAATGAAGGAAACAAATGGAAATATGAATATGAAAGCTAGGGCGTTCCCTCCAAGCGACGCGCAGGGTGTAGACTCCATCCTGTGAAAATTAAAGTAAAGGTCAAAGCAAAGAAGACAAGATTAGCAAGTTTGAATATTGGGACACTTAAAGGTAAAACGAGAGAATTGGCATCAATGTTATATAAGAGAACTGTTGATATAGCGTGCATACAAGAGACGAAATGGAAAGGGCCGAAGACTTTGATGATTGGAGATGGGTATAAATTGTACTATAATAGAATTATTAACAATAGCAACGGTGTAGGCATCATTCTCAGTTAAGATATAAACTCCTCATTGGTATAAGTCAACAGGATCTCTGATAGACTAATGAAAACAAAACTCTTCATTGGTCAATCAATACTACACATCCTTTCAGCAGATGTTCCTTAAACGGGTTGCAAGGAAGAAGAGAAAGATGACTTTAGAGCTATCCTTGATGAAGCTGTAATGGAAATCCCTAAGGATGACCTATAATTGGTGGTGACTTAAATGCTCATGTGGGGAAAGCAAGAGAATGCTACAAAAGGCATCATTGTGGTTTTGAATATGGAGAAAAAATGATGAATGAGACCATGTACTGAAATTGCAAACATTCGACCTTGTCTTAACCAACACTTACTATAGGAAAATAAACAGTCATCTAATAATGAAAGTGGTACAAGGAAAACACAGATAGATTACATGCTAATCTCTCACAGAAGATTAAAAGATGTAATAGACTGCAAAGTCATCACAGGAGAAAATATCGCCGCGCAACACAAGCTACTTGGATTTACACATCTCAAATAAATCCACTCAAAATTAGATAAAACTGGAACCATGCATCAAATGGGGTAAAAAACAATGACAGATGCCTTTGCAATCAATGCAAACATTGAAACAATAGATTCCTAACAAGTCAATAAAGAAATGTGGACAGACCTTTCATCCAGATTAATAGACACTGCCAAATTGACACTAGGCTTGACAAGAGGAGGCAACAAATCATACAAAGAACTATGGTGGTGGAATGAAGAGGAACAAACCCCTACACAGGAGATAAAAGCCCTTTATAAAAGGTTCAAATCCAAAAACTCACATGACAAGACAAATTACAAATGATCCAAGAGAATAGCTACAAAGGCGGTGGCTAGGGCCAAATCTATGGCATACGATGACATGTACGAAAATCTACATACCAAAGAAGGGCAAAATAAAATATACAGATTAGCCAAGCAGTTAGAAAAGAACTTTAAGAATATAAACGGAGCTCCGAAAGTAATCAAAAATAAAGATGGGAAATTGATAATAAAGGAAAAAGAAATAATGATTAGATGGAAAGAATATTTCCAGGAGCTTCTCAACTTTAATCTTCACATACTGCATCTAGACGAACACTCCCCTTGTCCAAACCTTGTACAACCTATAACAGAACAAGAAATAATCACATGCCTCAAGCATATGAAAAACAACAAAGCTAGGGGTCCAGACGATATTCCAATAGAAAGCCTTAAAGCACTAGGAGATGATGGAATACACTCCTCACAAATCTGTACAATAAAATACTTGGAAATGAAGAGGTTCCATAAAAATGTAGGCAGAGCTATCTAGTTCCTATCGTCAAATATAAAGGGGATCCACACAATTGTGAAAATTACAGGGGCATAAAACGAAGGTCACACTGTCTAAAACTATACGAAAAAATAATAGAAAAAAGATTAAGAGATATGATCGAAATAGGAGAGACTCAGTTTGGTTTTATGTCTGGAAGATCAACAACCGATGTTATCCATGCAATTAGGCAAATGAGTGAAAAATACAGGGAAAAGAACAAAAAGCTACACATGGTCTTTCTCGATCTAGAAAAGGCCTTCGATAGAATCCCAAGAAAACTTATCCGGTGGGCGCTACACCACAAAAAGGTTCCCGAAAAATATAAAAGAATAATACAGGATATGTATATGGGCCATACAATGATCCGTAGCACAACAGGTACTTGAGCAGGCTTCACAATAGCCGAAGGAGTTCATCAAGGGTCGGCTCTCAGCCCACTTCTCTTCATTACAGTAATAGATGTATTAGCACAGTCTATACCTCAAACAGTCCCGTGGAATATGATATTTGCAGATGATATTGTGATACTGGCCGAATCCAAGGATGAAATGAAAGAAAGATTAGTGAGTCGGATAAATATCCTAGAAACGCAAGAGAAAAGACGGAATATATGGTGATAGGAGGAGATGAAACAGAGAGTCATATAATTGAATTGCAGATATCGGCAAAGCTGCAAATATTTGGGTTCCACTATACAAACAAACGGCACAATAGAAAAAGAGATAAAGAGTAAGATTAATCAAGGGTGGTTAAAGTGGAGATCTTTATCTGGAGTGCTATTTGACAAAAGAATCCCACACAAATGAAAGGGAAAAATTTACAGTTCCATAGTACAACCAACTATTCTATATAGTTCGGAAACATGGCCAACTAAAGAATCAGACGAGAGAAGTCTACAAACTATGGAGATGAGAATGCAGAGGATGATTGCTGGGTTAACAAGAAAGGATAAAGTACGCAGTACAAGAATACTAAGTAGTTTAAAGGTAGGTGACCATTAAGACTAAGTTAATTGTAAATAGACTTAGGTGGTATGGGCACACAATGAGAAGGCCTATGAACTACATAGGAAATAAAGTTGAGAGTTTGAAAGTGATGGGCAAACGTAAGAGGAAGGCCAAAACTTCAATGGGTCCATAAAGTTGAATCAATATAAAGAAGTATAAAATAGATAAAAGAGATTGTATAAATAACATAAAGTGGAGAGAGATGTTGAAGGAGCTTACCACCAGAAAAGGTGAAAGCTAAAGATAAAAAATAAATATTGGTATGTGACACATGTTACATGCATATCTCTTCTAACTATGACAAAGCTCACAATATCTATATATTAAATTAATAATTTTTATTTTCAAATGAATTAAAATAAAAAGATTTTCTGAACGAAAGTAAAAAACGAACGCGTTTGTCATTATAAAAAGGATTTGTTCACTTTATATTACCAATCAGTAAATATATTCTGATAACTGGAGATTCAATACTCAGAAAACTTTATGCCAATCAGATGAAACATAATTTAATTCAAAAAAGAAATAAAGGAAGTAGGTTTAAAAATTTAAAATAAATATTTTAAAACTAAAATCTATCATGTCCATATTGGTTGTAATAAATATTAACAATAAATTGATAATAAAATTAATTTAGTATAAACCTCTATATATCACCAAAAGAGCAAGTAGTATTATTAACAAAATAAGTGAGCCTGTGAGAAGAGTATATAATACTCTCTTGCTAGCTTTTCTTGGTGCACATATCCCTAAATATGAATAAATTAAAATATAAATTATTCAAACTAAATATGTTTATAATCTTTCTTTCTTTCATACACCCCCCTCCTCCAAGGCGCTTAATTTCAACAAATCCGGCCAAGAAAAAGAAAGAAAGAAATGCATAGTTAAAAAACGACCTCATGACAAAACTTTTATACAACTCCAATTTATTCTTCCAAATATAAATCCAATTTATTCATATAAATATAAATCCAATGTATTCCTACAAATATAATAATCATTAATTGCTAAATCTTCACGATCAATCCCGGTTTCATCCAATATAATGTCTTCTTCACTCCAAACCGCACACAAAGAAACTTTTATTGTTCTTTACCAAAAAAAACCCATCTGATGACTCCCCTTTACTCCCATCCCCAAGGAAACATTAATTCCCCTGTCAGAAAATAACTGACATTTGATATATTATATTAAATTTATTTCTTCTTTTTTTTCAACGGCTACAACAAAAACTATTCCTTTTTCTCTTAGGCAAACCTGGGATTCATTCTACACGTCTCTTATAAGTGCTGAGTTATTAAAATGCCAAAAATATTCTTATCTAATTAGTGTTAACCATTTTGATCCTATCGAAGTTATATCACCCTCCCACTATGAGCAAGCCGTTTTGAATCTATATAACATGGCTTCGAATCCATTGAAAAAACACCTATCTCTCCTTTTCATAAACTCAAACAAAATATTAAAAACCTATGGCAACTTCACTCTTAAAAGTCAATTGAAGGCTCTAACGATAAAATATATATCATTATTTAGTGATTATTCAATCACTAAAAGTGTTATTAGAAAAAAAAACAAAAATAAAACAGAAAAGACGGTTTGCCAAAATAACAACTATAGTTGTATTATATCCATTTGGACATTATTTAGTGCTTAATTAATAAATTTGAATTCCTTTATTAATTTGATTATCGATATGTGAAAAATTAGATACACGCTAAAGAAATGTTTTGAGGTTAAATTTAAGCTAGAAAATAGTTCTTTAATAAGTTTAGTAGTCGAAATAAAAATTAAAAAATATTTAATTAAGCAAAAAAATGGCTGCACAACACAAAGAGTAGTAACAAGCATTCTATTTTATTATTTACTATTTAATGTAATTGGTTAACTGTATTACAAATCCGAGGTCCAGATTTGGGTTAGTTATAAGTCAAAGTTTTTTGTTGGACTTAGGAGAGTATTTCAATATCGATCAAAAGCTAATCAATTAGGAGAATAAGCTTTCCATTAAGATAAGTAAATATTAATAACAAATAATATTGATATGGGCGTCAAATAAAAGGCAATTTAATTATATTTTGATTGTAATCATAATTGGTATCAAAAATTAAAATCTTCTCTCACTATAAAAATATTTATCTAAATGCATATGTATACCTTGTATAGCATTAATGTCTAAATCATCATCTCCAAAGATAATATGTGTATCAAATCCAAAATATGGTAAAATTACGTTTTCAAGCAACATTAATTTGATATTTTTAGATATATCATAAGATATATTCACATAAAGATACATTTCTATATTGTTTGAATTACTGTTTTCTCTTGAAATAATATATTTTAAAATAATTTTAATAATTAAAAAAATAAAGATATAAAGGATTTAAAATAGAATCAAAATGATTTGAAATAATAAATTATTAAAAATCTCGGGAGGTGGAAGCACAATATAATAAAAATAAAGTCTATCAGTAACTCATGCTTTTAGTAATATTTGATCCTTGGACATTTTCAGGGCGATACTTTTCGCTCCAATAAGAAGAGATAACTGGGAATATAAAATGATATTTAATAAATAGTAGATTGCTACTCCTAGACGTAAGACATACTTGGAATAGAAGAATTGAAATATGAAGTAAATAGTTTCTATTTCACATTATATGCTCCTTATTATTCTTTTAAAATAATTAAATCATTTATTAATTAAATATTTTAAAAGCCATTAGAAAGTAATCTAAAATTATACTAGGAGCTGATATCGAAATTTTTCCATATTAATATCTAAAATTGTAGGTTAAGGTTAGGATGCAAATTTCTTAGGAAACTATATGAGAAAAATTTCTCGGTAATTTTTGGGGAAAAATGGGAAATAAAGGGAAAATAGAAAGGGGAATAACGAAAAATTCTATATTAAATTATTTTACAGATATTGATTTTCTTTTACGTTTTATTAAACAATAGAAACTATTATGTTATTTGAACAAATATGATATTTAATTATTTACTATCTTAGTTTAAAACAATTTCAGATCTCTATAATCATTATAACCCATATTTTAAAAGTATAAAAGCAGAAAATAAGAATTTGTTTTTAAAATATAAAATCCAAATTTTGAAATATAATTTGGAGAAAATTACTTATAGGAATAAAAATTTGAAAGCTAAAATGACTTATAAGAATCACCACCTCATTCTCCCGTTCATTTAAAAACTATGAATTAATATTATAAAATAGAATGTAAAAGAAAAATTAAAATATGATAATAAAAATAAATTACTTCCAAAATGCTGTTGGTAGGGTAAATATATTCTGAATTATTTTGCTCAAAACTGCCTTAATCTAAATAAAATAATAAAATATATATTTTGCTTAATTCATGAATATCATTTATATTAATTAATTTTGATTGGAAATACAACATTTTAATCATTTATTACAGCGATCTTCTATTCAGACATAAGTTACATATACGCACAATACTGGATAATACTATCACTAAAACTTTCGGACAAATCTTAGCTCGGCCTCTCTTCCGTGTAAAAATGGCTGATTAATTTTTGCCCTCCCCCACCCCTCATCTTTCTTGCTGCTTTTATCTCTCTAAAATTAAGCATTTCAAGTTTAATACTTACTGGTCATGATCTTGACCTAGAAAGAGCTATTCACATTTGAGTGAGTAATTGGCAACCTGACGATGGCAGACCAAAATCTACTCTTCAAAAAGCATATGATTTTTCACTAGTATCTCACTCCGTTGATTATCTCTTATCGAGTAATTCATTAGCACAATATCCCAGTCAAGCCATTCTAAATTCTCAATCGGGCCACAAATGGCTATCTTCTATCCAGAGCAAAAAATTTTGTCTTCTTCTTACTAATCAAGAACTTATTATAAACTTGATATATATCCCTTCCTTCTAAATGTATTAATTGTTTCTTACAATCTTATTTCAAAGAAAACCTTCCTTTGCATTGTAAATATTGGCTAGGGAGCCTCCCACGAGTATATTAATAATTTAATTAAATAAAGCTCATAAAATTATCAGCATCGGATATTCTAGATCCTAATAATGTATTCCCAATCAACACAGAAGATCTCATAGTGTCAGCCTAATATCTTAGTCCCTTGGTCTTTCAATAGCTTAGGATTGTACATGCATCAATTTTTTGGCGCAATCCAACAGAAATATCAGTACTTATTCAACAGAAATTTTGAAAATAAACAAATATTCAGACATTGTTAACGTCATTTTTATCCCACTTGTCATCAATTGACCACTTTTTAAATTTAACACATTATGGAGAAGATTAAAATAAGTGGCGATCAATGATCCTTCTTTTTCAAGCCATTACGATCGCAATTC